TCAGCTCGCCTGGAAGCCTTCCCTGACCACCCAATCAAAAGCACTCCACCCACCCCAGCACTATGGCTTCACCTTGTTTTACTACGTTCACGTTCATGAACGTAAGGGTATCAGAGATGATCGTGATCGTTTGTTTGTCTGAGGTCGGTCACATTCACTAGAATACAAGTTGCTGAGAGCAGCTCTAGGGTCTGGTATTCAGGGCTGCTCCTCAGGCCACAGTAGGGAGTTGGCACCCACGTGAAATAAAACCATCCCAAGGGTCCCTTTACTTGTTGCTGTTGCCTGCCAGGCTCTTTTGGCCTCCTCCAGTGCCCTGGGTCTGCGCACCCGAAATCCTCACAGAAAAGCAATCATTAAGAGTGCTTTCTCCAGCTCCAGGCACAAGCTCGGACCCAGCACCCCCTTCTCTGCCATCCGACACAGCAGCCAACTCCCACCAGTCTCTGCCCCCGTTCCAGCTGTATGACTATAGATGGCCACCCCTGGCCTCAGTACCCAGCCCAGAGCCCCACTGAGGCCCTCTTCTGAGCACCCAGCCAGGCAGGGGGAAGGCTTCTTTACATGGGGCTGCTGGCCCAGTTTCTATCCCTCCCTGAACCCGGAGGCCAGCCAAAGAGGGGAGGGGGGCCTAGCCCAGGTGGGGACAGTTCTAGGAACTATGGGGAGTCTGGGGAGAGGAGAGGAAGGAGGTGACAACCCATCATTAAATCCAGATCTGGCTGATACCACTCAACCCAGCAGTTTGTGGCTCCTGTCTCAAGTGCTGAGGATCCCAAGTTAACATTCCCAGGACACGCTGGTAACAGCCTTGCAATTAGCCCAGAGAGAAGGAACAAGAGCAGGGGTGGCCTGACCAGGGACCAAAGTGAGGAAAATACAAACCAGGAAAAAAAGCAAAATCCAGCTTCAGAGCCAGGTCCCATCCTCATAACCACTTCCCTCTGCCAGCCGACAGCTCCGTGATCCTGTCCCCCTAGCTCCCAAAAAGAGAACAGGGGATGACCTGACTTCTGGGAAAGGAGCTTCCATTGATGTGGCTACCTGGGACACCAGGGGAACTCTATTCACAAGGGTACTGACCTCCCCCTTCGGATGGGCAAGAGGAAAGTCCTGGGCAGAGAATTCCCACCAGGGAATCCAGAACAGTGGGGCACTCTTCCAGTCACGCCCCTCAAAGGCCAGCTCAGGGGGGCCGTGGGTTGGGGCTGAGGGTCAGTCAATCCCAGGCTGCCACTATCTAGTTGTGTTACCTAGAGCAGGCCACCCAGAGCCTCGGCTTCCTCTGCTGTACCATGGAGAAGGCCTAAGCTGACCTGGTGGTGGTGAGCAATCAATGAGCTCATCTGACCAGCAAGCTCAGCACAGGGCCTGGCCCAGGAAGAGACCCCCAGAGGCAGAGTCCTGGGACTGGTAGCACCAAAGGCCTGGGTCAGGGTGTATTTTCTTGGTTTGATCCCCTTCTTGGTGACCTGCCTTCACCCCATCAGGAGCCTCCAAGACACGGTGAACAGAGCTTTATATGCTCACCTCCCAGTAACTCACCTCCGGAGAGCTGGTGCCTGAAAAGCTGTGAGGTCCCAACCTCTAGGCTTCAGCCTCAAGGCTCTGGTCACAAAAAATGGGGAAAGAATCTAGGACCCTAAGATACTCAGATAACGGGGGCTGGGCTGCCTCCCCGCAGATATATGGGGTGGGAATGGGCAACCGGGTGGTAAACAAGATGCCAGAGCTAGGTGTTTCAGACTATTTCCCAAGCTGCCCACACAAACACCCACCTGGCTGGCAAGCACCTTGGAACAGCCAGCAGATGCTTGCCCAAAGGGTAGGTGAGGACCCAGAGTCTGAAAGGCAGGGATGAAGTCTGGAAAAGGGGAAACCCCTCAGGTTTGGCCCCCAAGCTAACACCTAGCCAGGGAAGGCAGGCGCATCTTGGCATGAACATTTTGAGCACACTAGTTTCTCCGGACCTGCTCCCACATCCCCACTACTCGACCCAGCCCAAAGGCTTTGCCTCCCCCTTTACCCAAAGCTCCTGCAGTAGTTCCTCAACCAACCTGATAGCCCCCGTATCTGGCCCTCCTTCCCCAGTCTCTCGGAGCCCGAACCTCAGGTGACCCCTGCAAACGTCTCCGGGATCTCCTAACCGCCCCCACCCAAACTAACTCCGCCCACACCCACCCTGCCCCACTTCCTGGGCTTCTCCTCAGCCGCCCCTAGGCCTGTAACCTGACCCACCTCCTCCAGCGCCCCGACAGTACCTGCAAGCCCGGCCCCTCCCCACCCTCCCCCCCCTCGGGGCCATTTCCCTCCGGCCGCGCCGCTCTCCCCTCCTCCCCCCTTCGGCCGGCCCAAAGCCCGACTCCTCCTCTCCCTCCCCCTCCGGCCTCCCCGGGCGCCTCCTCACTTTTCCTCCCCGGGCCCTTCCTCCAACTTTCCGGGGCCCCGGCACCTGCCCCGGCCCGGCCTCGCGCGCGTCTCGCCGGGAATGAG